AGGGAGGCAGGATAAAAGCAGGATAAAAGTATTGGTGGTTATGATAATGTGAAAAGTCCTGGTTACTGCACAAAGTAAAGGTCATTGCAGTTTATAAAAAAACATCCTTCATTGAACCGCAAAATACAAAGAAAGTTCACTTGTGTAGTGGTTTATCAGTAATGGTTACAGCAAAACTGACAATTTGGAGTTATTAAGTGTAATTTACTTCATTAAGATTTGACCAAGAAACCTATATTCATGATAAAGAATAGATGGTACGTGTTTCAGCGGGAATATCTTCTCTTAACCATTCTCCTTGTTTTTCTCTCTCTCTCTTTTTTTTCCACAGAAAGCAAGTAACATAACCAGAATTTTGCTACAAGATTTGAGAAACGAACAGCCAGATAAAGTTAATATACTGGTAGCTACTCACGAACTTGAATCTTTTGCAATTAAACACGCAAGACTCATCTCACAGCGAAAAAAAAACTTAACTGTTCAGCAAAATTTGTTTGGTGAGTCGGTTTTTGTCATTTTTAGTTGAATTTATAAATTTGCATCCAGCTTCATATTGACCGTGGGTCACATTTACACAAGGTCTTTACTTACTCTCAATAGTATCTATAGTACAGTGATTAGTTTGTTATATGCCTGGGCGTAATTTAAGAATTTACTCATGCTTAGCGTGCGTATATCGAGTTATGGATGCACGCGGGAAGTTTGGAGAGCACGAAAGATGCGTAAGAGTTGCACGAGGCGATAGCCGAGTGCAATTCTAGCTTCTTGAGTGCTCTCCAAACTTCCCGAGTGCATCCATAACTCGATATACGCACAGCTAAAAGCATGAGCAAATTCTTTTATAACATAGCTGACAAAAATGCTTGCTTTTTGATTAACTACAAAATTCTCGTAACGCGTTACACAATAACAAAGGGTTCTATTGGCTGATTACGAACACGCCACAATCGTTTGAACGAAAATATTCTTTCTATAAAGCTGAGAAAGAAAATTTGTTTCTTTATTCGTTAACGATCAATGGAAACTAAGCAGAAACAAAGCTAAAAGAGTCTTAAAGTTCACCTAAAGTTAAAATACTAACATGTACGTAAGAAGTCGTGGAGTATGGGTTGGATTTGCTGAAAAGATGTTTACGTTTTGCTCGGTGAAATCCAGAAAACATGTTTTTAGCGAAGACGACTGTCATCCTTCTTTAAACTTATATTCATTAACGAACATTGGCTGGTCATTACGGCTTCTTGAGAAGACCTGGCAGCAGTTGTTTTTGTGAGTAACGATCAATGGAAACTAAGCAGAAACAAAGCTAAAAGAGTCTTAAAGTTCACCTAAAGTTAAAATACTAACATGTACGTAAGAAGTCGTGGAGTATGGGTTGGATTTGCTGAAAAGATGTTTACGTTTTGCTCGGTGAAATCCAGAAAACATGTTTTTAGCGAAGACGACTGTCATCCTTCTTTAAACTTATATTCATTAACGAACATTGGCTGGTCATTACGGCTTCTTGAGAAGACCTGGCAGCAGTTGTTTTTGTGAGTAATAAATTTATGTCTTCTTGTGTAATTTGTGATGTTATTGAGAGAGAAATTTTCCTGCTTCAGTCGGATTGTCCGGAGATAACAAAAGTACATAACAAATTTAAAAACAACAATAAAAACGGAAATGTTACCCTTAAATGTTGTTGATGACCAGTTGGTGTCTGTTCTGTTCCCAGTGAATGTCTTTCGGCCAAAATTTGCTGCAGCTGGTCATCCGAAAAATTTGCGAAACGCGCAACTTGCAATTTTTTTTTAATTCGGCTTTATTTTTGCTGCTTGTTCGATCAGGACCTAAAAGGTCAATGCCGATATAAAAATTGGGCAGTTCTTCGCTGGTTTCTTCCGAAGGAAAACTGCACCACAGCTTAAAAGACGACTACTGTACTTTGCAGCCAGCTAAAAAAAATGCTCAAGTCATCTTATTTACGCACGGGCGTGCGTAAATAAAGATTTTGTTCATAGCGGCTCAATAGTACTTATATAGGGCAAGCACGCGCGCTATGTTATAAAACCAGTTAGTTATTTACAGGAGTGGAAAATACTATAGGAGTTTAAAAGCCTGACTACCAGGAAACTAACTCAACTGCTTTATTTGTTGCCGCCCAATTACAACTGCCGCAAACTGGCCACTCATGTGACACACTGGTAGCTATAAAAACATATTTCACTGGGAAAGCTTTTTCTTGCAGTCATGGTTTTTGTTTTCAAATTGATTTCTAGAAATGAAGATTCAGAGGGTTTTGGAAAACAATACGAACCCAGTCGCTTGCTCTAAAAGCGATGGAACAGAGAGTATTATTATTCCTTCGGAAAACTTAAAAGGACAAGGTAAAGCGTCATTACTTAATTTTGAATACAGTGCACCTTAAATGGCTAAATAACATATAATAAATAAAAATATATTTAACAATTATTCGTTGAGCCCGAGTGAGGTCTGAGTCAACAGCCCATGAGGCCGAAGGCCGAATGGGTTATTGACTCAGAGGCCATGAGAGGGAGAGGAATAATTTTTTTTAACAACTTTATTAGCTAGCGAAACGCGATTCAGCCGCCATTGTTTTGGTTTTCAAAGCCGGCGCTTTTCGCTACTAGTGGCCTGGACTATATAGAGAATACTTCATGGAAAGTGCTGGTGTACGGTATTTACCCATGAGTTGTTGACGTATCAGAAATCGAACGAGTGAGCGCAGCGAAAGAGTAAGATTTCTGATACAAAAACAACGAGCGCTTGAATACCGTACAAAGCACTTTCCATGTGGTATTGTATTTATTATATACATACGGAGACACTCATTATTTTGGCGGCCTTTTTATTTTAAATCTTTCAAAAATCCTAAAATTTACCGCTACACACTTACCGCAAAATGACAACGAAAACGAAGTATCAGCTTTTTAGTAAAAACGTTGACGGTGAGGATATGAGGTAATCCAAGAACTATAACTAATCGTAACTGTTTGTTCTCAATGCACAATTGAAAATGAGTGAATTTAAGTAAAATGGCCGGTTTCAATATAAGCTTAAGCTTAAATGAAAGGAAAGGAGCTCCGACAAAAAGCACAACAAAAGCTTACGTCTCGTTCGGTTCATCCCTTTCCGCTGTTGTTTCGCCGGCTCTCTACCGTTTTCTTTATCGACAGTGAAACAAACAAAACTATTACACTCCATTTCTGAAATGTTTTTCACTTTTTTAGCGAGAAAAAACTCTTTGAGAAAAACTTTTCTCGTTGAATGTGTGCGAAGCGGCGCTCAGCAAGCTGCAAGAAAAGGCGGGAATTTTGGCGCGAAACTCACACACCTCTGTGGCTTCTGATTGGACGTATCATTTTTCTTACACGTGAAAAAACATCGTTCGCAATTATGATTGGACGTATCAAGTTTTTCACGTATGAAAACTATCGTTCGCTCCTCTGATTGGCTAGAACTAATTTGCGTACGAAAATTTACGACATAGCTGTTTGGTGACTATTTCTCAGTATGGATATAATAAAGCATATGGCCTAGTAGTAGCTCAACCAATCAGGATGCAGCATTTTTAATAGACCACTAGCTGGATTTTACTAATATAATGTTATTATTTCTTTCCAACAAGGCTGTTCAGAATTAATATACAAATTCTTAAAAATGTTCTAAAATTACACGAAAATAATGATCACTGGCCATAGGTTGAGGCGGGCTTCTTGATCTACACTTTGTTCTTATCTCAGACGCTGTCACCGTATGCACACTTTTTGACGGGGAAATCAACCAGTGGATACCTGGCGAAAAAAGAATTGACTTAAACGGGTAAGGTTTACCGGGCTTTTCATCGATCGGTATCGATACAAGTCGTTTCTATACAACGACCTCAAACATTGAAACTACGCAAAAATTCCAGTGCCTTCAAGAAGTATAGTTTGCGCGTGAACAAAAAATCAGTTTGGGTGAACATTCTGCGTTCTTTAAACCAAGTACCGGAAACTATTTACAACTCGACTGAATAAACTCATATTGAAACGACTTCAAATCGCGACAATTTTGTATCGGAACGACCGATAACTTTTTCATCTCTTACATATATTTGAGGGTTCAGAAACTCTAAAAAGGATAATAATTATTACGTCAAGGGTTGAGAGACACTTAAGAGGAATGAAAGAAATATTTTGCTCTAACTCCGTTCGAACTGATTATCAGACTAATATTTTCACGAAGAAAAATATAGCAGTGAAACTTAAAGGGAGAAGTCGTGTGTGACCTGAGCTTTTCAGCCGCTGCTTTAAAGTCATTACACTGAAATTTTCCAGAGGGATTTCTACAACATTGTAATCATACGTTTCTCTTCATTTATTTATTTATTCATTTAATTTCAGCTTTTAATTGTAACCTAAAGTAAAGCGCTTTTGAATATTTTATAGTTATACAAATTCTTTAAAATTAAATTAAATTGAATTAAATAAAATTTATTCATTTATTCATTTATTTATTTTATTTTCTAACAGTAAAAATATCACGAACTTCACGCTAAGTAATATAATAGGCAGCACAGTAGATCCCAGGCCCCAAGACGACGTCCTTCAGAAAAACGTAACAGTTGTATTCCGTTACGAAGAGGTATGTCCACTTTGTTGTAAGTTAATTTATGTGATCAAAAATACTACCTGGTATACAGATGGACATGCTAACTGCTATAGCTTAGCAAGGATTGGTTTATGATTGCTTGTGCTGTTTTAGGATTTTCTTGATATTTTTTCTTCATTGCCCTGCAACACTTTGAAATCAAAGAAAACTCACTGACCGATAGTCGCTTAAAAATACGGAACTCGATACGATATGTTCTGTAAAGACGTTGTAAAATTATGCACTTACTTTCTTATCTGTTCTGATTGTACGTGATACCGGGTATAAAAACATTTACGACGCCGACAAGTTATTCACCTTTCCTTAATTTTATTAGTGTTTTCTTACCTGAAACTTTAAATGTCTTTCTTAAGGGATTAGAGCCGCATTGTGTCTTCTGGGATTTTACTGCCAAGTAAGTGCGACAGAATTTTTCAGTAAGCAACTAGAAGGACTTACCAACATCAGGGGTTATTAGTATGAGGTGATTCATAGTTTTTGTAGAGTGGACAAGTAATATCTCGCTATGACGACTAGGGTTGACAAAATGCTGCCCTTTAAGGTCTTAAAGCAGAGTCATACTCAGGAACTATATTATTGCAGATCAAATTTCAGCGGTTCTTGGTCAAGCAAAGGATGTTCAATGGTCAATAGAACCAAAACGGAAATCACATGCACGTGTAACCACCTTACAAACTTTGCTGTTCTTATGCGCGTTGGAGCAGACAATGAGGTTAGTTGGAGCAGCTTTTTGACTTGTTTTCCGCATGTCCCAATACAACAGCAACCCGCGAGTAAGAACCGAGATTTTAAGAACCTGTTAGGCTAAAATTTGCTAGTTACGCCACCTCTACACAAGCACCTGTTTAGCCTAAAATGTGAAACAGGCTCTATAAAATTTCTCCCAATTTCCATACATTGCTTTGTTGTTGTTGTGTTTCCTCGTTACCCCCCCCCCGCCCCCCTACATATATAAGAACCTGTTTAGCCTAAAATGTGAAACAGCTTCTACAAAAAATTCTCTCAATTTCCATACATTGCTTTGTTGTTGTTGTTGTGTTTCCTAGTTAGGCCCCCTCTACACAAAAACCTGTTTAGCCTAAAATGCGAGACAGGTTCTCTAAAAAATTCTCTCAATTTCCATACATTGCTTTGTTGTTGTTGTTGTGTTTCCTAGTTAGGCCCCCTCTACACAAAAACCTGTTTAGCCTAAAATGCGAAACAGGTTCTCTAAAAAATTCCCTCAATTTCCATACATTGCTTTGTTGTTGTTGCTGTGTTTCCTAGTCAGGCCCCCTCTACACAAAAACCTGTTCAGCCTAAAATGCGAAACAGGTTCTGTACAAAATTCTCTCAATCTCCATACATTGCTTTGTTGTTGTTGTGTTTCCTAGTTAGGCCCCATCTCAAGAACCTTTTTAGCCCAAAATGTGAAACAGGTTCTATAAAAAAATTCTCTCAATTTCCATACATTGCTTTGTTGTTGTTGCTGTGTTTCCTAGTCAGGCCCCCTCTACACAAAAACCTGTTCAGCCTAAAATGCGAAACAGCTTCTGTACAAAATTCTCTCAATTTCCATACATTGCTTTGTTGTTGTTGTGTTTCCTAGTTAGGCCCCATCTCAAGAACCTTTTTAGCCCAAAATGTGAAACAGGTTCTATAAAAAAATTCTCTCAATTTCCATACATTGCTTTGCTGTTGTTGCGTTTCCATGGTTGATGTACCGCAGGATTTATCGCTCCAGCGCTGGATCAGATGTAGTACCTGCGATTTATAGCTATGCTCTCTCTGACTTATCGCAGATTTCCAGAGAGGTAGATGTGAAAATATAGATATCTTCCATAAATTTCAAAAATTTCAATCTATAGTTGAGCTACAAACTGTTATTTAAACGATATTATTGCATAAGAGTTTAATCAACTGTTGGAGCTGAGACAAGGCATTACGAAACATGTAAAATTACAATAAAATTCATGTTGTCACTGCTTCAGTTGTTCTTCTTAAATTGATTTTTACATAAATTTTAATTTAATGTGCAGATTTGATATAAAGAATAAACTGAATACCTCTAAATGTTCAGTGTATTTTTTTCTTCAGGAAATAGGAACTTAATTATACAACCTCATCCCCAGGGCTTTTCCCTTAAGGGAATAGTCCAGGGGACAAGGTTGCTAATTATACCATTTATGTAAGAACCTGTTTGGGCTAAATTGGGAAAATACAGGTTCTTACTCGCGGGTTTTTACTGTACCATGAATGTGAAAATGAATAAGGGGAGCATCTACAATCGGGGCGCCATGAACCCTTTTTCACATTGTCACTTATAGCGGTAGTGACTCGAGTAATAAGGAGGCCGTTCCTATTTTCGCCATTGAGAGTACTTCTTTGCAAAATAATAAGGGGCCCTGACTCTTGCCAAAATTTGTCTTTATTGATTTGGCGTATTTGCAAACACTTTTTAAACTATTTTCCAACAGGTTCCAGCAGATCATCAGGTGGCATTGAAAGTCATTACTTACGTTGGGTGTGCTCTGTCGCTTATCGGAGAAGCACTCACCGCTGTTGCATATTGCGTCCTCATGTGAGTTACAAATAATATACCGTCATAAAAGAGCTCAGACATTTAGATTTGGTTTTTGTGATATCCGGAATGATCAAGGTCGAGGTAAGCGTTTTTAACTCACGCATCTTGGTTTCAAATGCACCAAGTATAACCTGGGGAAGAGTGAAACCAAGATTGTCGCCTGCAACATGCAAGCAGTAAGCGCTGGAACAGACCAGACGTTCAACATAAAAACATGGGGCTGTAAGAAATTTATTGTCCAACGAGCGCTTTCAACAGATTTTTCAGCACCAAATGTTTAACCATAGCATATTAAGACGTGCTTTGTTTCTAAACTATTTGCATTGAATCTTAATACTTAGTAAATGAAAAATTATGACAATAACAAAACCACAAGGGAGAGGAACGGGGAGTCAGCCGCCCTCTTCACAACCCCTCGAAGTGCAATTAGGCTCTGTATTAGCTTGTCAGACGTTCATTTATGTTTTTTAAATTAAGAAGAAGCAGAAGCACCTTAAGATGGGATTTTCCCACTCTGAAAAAAATATCATGTCAACGATGTTCAATTATTTTTTGCCTCGTTCAGGGATTTGAAAGAAGACCAAACTCAAATCCGCTTTAACCTTGTGGTCGCCATAGCGATAGCACAAATTACGTTTCTTGCTGGAATTGATGCCACAGAAGTTAAGGTAAGCTAAAGATGTAAGTTAATCTGAAAGATGAAGAAATAATGACCATTTTGTCGGCTTGGATGATAAATTGATCGCCAAAACATTTAAAAAGAAAAATCACAAATGAAAGACTTTTGGATGTAAAAGAGTTGAGTTTTTAATAACTTAATATCATTAGCTGGCATTCCCATGAGCTCGATTTTACGCAAATGTGCTAAAAAAATGTGGCTCAGTGGTCGATTGCTCTTTAGTTCTCCTTAGTATCTTTGGTTTGTTTGCATTGCATTAAGAGAGTTTTTTATTATCATTATTATTTTATTTTTTACTTTTAATCATTTATTTTTTGTGGGGGGAGGTTAATGAAAAGCGTGCCGTTTATGGACTGAGATGATGACGGTGAATCCCGTTTCTTTATAGGAATTGTGTGTGTTTGTAGCAGCCATGATTCATTACTTCTATCTGGTGGGATTTGCTTGGATGTTATTTGAGGGTGTTTATCTGTATCTGATGGTTGTCAAAGTGTTCAATACGGTCATCAGATTGTGCTTGTTCTATGGAGTGGCCTGGGGTAAGTATTAAAGCAAAAACTTACGGACAGAAAATGGACCGTTGGTAGATCTAGTCAAGAGGTCTTGACTTGTAAGTCCCTTCCGGGATCAAAAGCATTTCGTTAATTGACCACTCCAAAATTACCATAACTTACCATAATGCTCTATGTTTGTCACCCCAAAATTTTGCATAAGAATTGTTTTCAGTTTCTCTTGGGGCCATTCTAAAAGAGAAACTGAAGACAATGCTTATGCAAAATTTTGGGGCGACGAACAAAAAGAGCATTATGGTATGTTATGGTATTTTCTGGAGTGGTCAATTGATTCCTGGTTTATCTAGTTACTTTCCTTACGTATTTACAAGGACTTGCAATTGAGACTTGCTATTTAGAGGAATTTGTACACTCACTTCTCAACACCACAGTTCTCATAAGAGTGCTATACTGACGTATCTGACGTAAAAACGTCAATTTTTTTCAATCAAACCTTAGGCCTCTCCCTTTTGATTGTGGTTTTATCGATCGTGATTGCTTCCATTCAAGATGGCGGGATAGAAAGCTATGTTCATGATCATTTGTAAGTAAACAAACCAGATCTTAATACTACCGAACAAAACGGAGCAAGAAAAACTTGGAGGTTTCAAGAATATGTTTATTTTTTTATGACCATTTTTTATTTATTTATTTATTTATTTATTGCAAAGTTGCTTATGAAATTTGCCCAAACTGCCTCTTTCAGAGGAATTATTATGAGTACGTTCGTGTTACAGGCCCAAATAATTGGTTTTCAAACAACTGAAAATCTTCGTAGGCTTTTTCTTCAACATTTTCAATTTTAACCGTCAAGTTTTATCAAGCAATCCTTCCTTAGTAACAACTTGATTTTCTTTATTTTTTTCAGTTGCTGGGTTTCCTTCAAAAATAACCTTATCTGGACGTTTGTTGCGCCTGTTCTCTTAGTTTGCACGGTAAGTAAGAAAGTGAAAATGTTCCATAAGTGAATAAGTTTGTTAAGAGAACAAGTTAAAAAATGATTGCTTACAGAATATTGAGGCTCATCTGTAACTGATTAAAAATTGATATAATCATCAAATATTTGCCATGAAAATGTAAGACGTGAAACTGAAATTAATAACGGTTCATGTCGAAAAAAGAAAACCAGACTATTTAGCTTCCTTTCATATCATAGTCTTGGTGGATTACAGTAAGCCCATAAATGAACTGATAGCGGCTACCAGTGCCGCCCTTGCATGCTGACGTCAGAGCTTACTGTTAACATGTAAATATATACTGTAAAGAGGACACGTTTATTGTCCTCTTATCCACGGCATTTCATTTATTCATTCATTTGCGGGTAATAAACACATGTGGGATAGAGCGCTGCGGTGGAGGGGAGGCTGTGACGTCATACTTAGTGTGATATGCTTGAGATGTTTCATACGTCCGAGCTTTGATCGATTATTTATCGATTATATTTTATGTTTTCATTTATATATTTATTCATTTATTTTTATTTATTTATTTATTGTAGTTATATTTTCAAGACCTGAGAGAAAGAAAGAAACAGGGTCCAAGGTTTCTGCCATTAAAAGATATCTTATTCTCATGCATTGTTTCCACGCAGATAAACTCAGTTTTACTTGCCCGAGTGGTTCATGAGATCCTAAGAATGCAAGCCGACAAAACACCTCATCTGGAAAGAGTTCGACAAGGAGTTAAAGCATGCGTAGTTTTGTTTCCTCTTCTGGGACTGACCTGGGTGTTTGGTGTCCTAAGTGTCACAGATGCTGGACTCGTATTTCAGTACATCTTTACCATCTTCAACTCTTTGCAGGTATAGTACTAGAAAATCCAACATGTTAACTTTTTGAGTAGTTTGAGGAAACAGTCAACATTTCGCAAGGGCACTCAAAGAGAATATAGTTCAAAACCACTTAAACATAGCATTGTTAAACGTATTTGGTATTTAGACGGTAGATATAGGCATATTTTTATCCCCTCAAAATTTTTCATCTGTTCGGCTTTCCTAGCTGAAAGTCTAGTGATCCGAAAATTATAGGGATCAAAACTTACCTTTTCAAAAATTTCAGCAAGAAAAAGGGCTCCCGAAAATTTTAGGCGACCTTTTTAGGGTAAAAATCCGTTAAAAATGGGCAATTATACCATTTTTTAGGTGTTCGAAAATCCTAGGAGAGGCAGGCAAGCAAGAAATCTTACAAAAAATGTTCCGAAAATTCTAGATCTCAAATCGTCTTCCGAACAGATATTTTCCGTTGGGTGCCCTGATTTCGCGACGCCACCACTGGTTTCCCCAAGAAATGACGTTTGGCGAAGAACGTCCATACTGATGACGTGTCAGAAACCCACATCTGGGAAGTGCTTCTAATTGGATGAAGCAGATTTTAACCAATCAGAAGCACTACCCAGATCCAGGTAGTGACGAGTGATCAGTATGGAATTGCTCCGCTAGTTTATCCAACGTCATTACGTAGGGAAACCAGTGGTGGTGTCGCACAATGTCCGCTGTTTTCTCAGGCTAACTGACAGCGAGCAAATATTATTTTATCAAATCCTAGCTTGGTGGCTAAAAAAGCCGTTTTAATTCACTCATTCGTTCATTTATTTATCTATATATTTTGCCACACAAGCATTCGAAGTTTACTCCAGACTTTGACAGTAGTGTCAAGGAATGTAGCGATCGAGAAAATTAACATGACAGAACATAGAATAGTAGAGATGGTGGGCGGTACCTGATACCATGTACTGCGATCAACCATTGACTATAATTTTGCTTTCATTTCTTCTTTTCTCTCACCCTTATGAAGGAACTTAACTTTCTTTTTATTTATCGATACACACATTTTTAGGGTTTGTTCATCTTCATACTTCACGTTTTGAGAAACAGCGGCGTACGTGCAGCATACTCCAGAAAAATGCAGAAGAGGAATGCGGCAAAAAGCGTGAAAAACTCTCAAGAAAACCGCAATACAATCGGATTGTGGTCAAGCAAAGTGACGAATGAACCAAGCTGTACAAAAGAACCTAGCAGTGCCTCTCTAAGATCATGGGCTGGAGTAAAAAGCAAGATTGACAATGCCCTGCACGAGGAAAGAACCATGACTCCCGTTAACACGTGACTATCACGTAGGCTGCACGTGAACTTGTTTTAGTGGCCACTGTTAGAAAACAGAGTATTGGCAAGTTTTCATTATATGTTTAAGTTTAATTCTTAAAGGAAATAGCATAGAAATCCTACAAAGAAATATTACTTCTGTTGACACGTGACTGTCACGTAGACTGCACGCGAATTTGTTTTAGTAGCCACTGTTAGAAAATAGAGTATTGGCAAGTTTTCGTTATAGGTTTAATTCTTATAGGAAAGAGCATAAAAATCCTACAAAGAAACATTACTTCTGTTGACACGTGACTGCATGGCAGTAAGCCATTTCCCGGCGAGTAAAATAAATAAAACTCATTTTCACAAGAAAGGTTGTGCACCTAGCCTTATTTTGAAAGTGAGGGTTTTTGGAACTGGGAAGTGGCCTATTTGGAGGAAAAATTTGAACAGAGGAGAGGGAGGGAGTGAAACTTATACCCCACAGATATTTGACTACGGCAGTGGTTTTACTGAATGAGAGCAGATTTTTCTGTAGCCTGTTCCAGGCGTTCAGTGTAGAGAGAGTTAAATTGTAGGCGGTGAGCGATAAAGGAACGCGAGAGGAAATCAAAGAAAGACTATCGTCAACTCGTGGGAACGATGTTTAGCAAATAATCAAATGATAGTTTTCAACTCTGGTTTTCCCACAGTAAATTGTGGGAAATGATAGAAATTCGGATTGTTTATCCATATGTTTAATATACTATCTTTTCTTTGGAAAGACGATACTTTTCTTGCTGTTTATTGCAGTCTATTAAATAACAGTTATTTAGGCATATATTTATAGAAAAACAACAAAACAAATAAGCAAACAAAACAAAACAGAAACGGAAAAAAAGAAAGAAAGAAGGAAAAAAAGAAAAGTATAGAGAAGGAGTCGACCCGGCACATTTAGCTTGACGAGACACACAAATTTGGCGATAAGTCTTTAATTTAATGCCTTTTCCATGGAGCCTCCACCGTTTGAAGATGATAGAGCAGCATTAACCGAGAAAAAAAAATTTCAACGCATTCCATGGCGATGAATTAATGAAAGAACATAATTACGCTTTACAAAAAGCCGATAAACCTCGTCCGCAAAGTAGCACGCAAAACATATATTCTGTTATCTCGATTTCCGCTGTAATTTTGAAGCTAATTAATGATCAAAATCACATCCATTTTCGTCTCATACAGGTTCTTAAGACTGGCATGGCATTACATTTTGTCACTTTCAGATGACTTTCCAACAAGCCGGAATTCAGTATATATCCCCCGTGATCTTGCGGCGGAGTCGAAGAGCAAATGCTCATCTTCTCTCGTCAGGTTTAACGCCTGGACGAGTCAAAAGCTCTTAAAATCCAATCCCCAATTTAACCACCGTACTCATCTGAAAGACTCCTCCATGTCTTAAATTTGGTAAGACCTCTAACCGTATTGTAGAAAATTTGCCGCAAAGAAAACTCTGAGTCTGAGCAGCGAACGATGCAAGCTCTCGGACTTCGGCGAACGCGTGCTTCTTCGGACAACGATAGATCTTCGCACTCTCGAGTTCGGATCCCATTAATTACGAAGTCTGTCTACTACGAGTGAGCGAGTGACTCATTTGCATATCACCGTCCCTGCAATAACTCGTGGTTCCGTCGCGCGTCCCCACGAGTCAGAAAACGAGAGGAGACTAGGGAGTTCGCAATCAACTAATTATTTGCCGCGCTCTACCATCTGAATGCCTGGAACAGACTAAATTTTGTTCTGAGTGTCTCAGAATATTTTGGCAGCTAGTTGTAGTTTGTGCAACGCTTAAAGACACTGAAAACTGACAAAAAATAAAAAAGATATATTAAAAAACTATGCTTTCGTCATTGATGGATCCAGAAAGAGTAGCTGCAGAAAAAGTCGAAGTCGGAAAACAAATAAAATTGTGGCACCTGAGGTGACAAGATAGTTTGAAATAGGACTGGTCACTTTTGTGTTCGAATTATTCAAGTTCAATTTTATAGCGTCGTTTGGAGACCTTTTTTTTTTTTTTTTTGACAACAACAACAACTCCTGCTTACATCTTGTATAAAACACCATTTTAAAAGCTCCGGCTCCAGTTTGAAACCTCAAAAAAATGTTAACGGGGCACCATGAGTATACACAGGAAGAAAGCGTGACTGAGGGAAACGCAAAGCGAGCAAATAACTAAGGCCAAAAAAACTAAAATGGAATATTGTTTAGGTGACAGATTGGAATTATACTCTGCTTCATCACTTTTTTTTACTGTGAGCCATGATTCTTATTGACGTACGCGAAAATTTCCTTTGTCGGTTGTATTATAAATTGGCACATCGAACGCAATGAAATAATCGATAACCCATGGGGTAGCTAATATATTACACATTTCATATGATGCGTTGATTTTGTCTGGTGAAAAAAAAAAACAACTTTAGTTCAGTCTTTATTCCAGGCTTCTAAGAACCGAAAACTCATACAATAATCGACTCTTCCATTTTTAAACTCCTTCTTTATATATTCGCAAATTTGCAGCTTTTAAACTTAATCTGAGGAAGATGGAAGGCTTTCTTTTTCCCGATTATCTTTGTTTTCGATTAACTTCTATTCATAATTGCTTTTTAAACCACCAAACGTCACTGAGGTGTCGTAATAATGTAGTTTTCGGAAAGTCTAATATATTACGCATAAATTTGGTGGAGTTTATGAAGTTTAAACTTGAAAAAAAAAATACTGCAACGTTTGACGCTGAGGAGGGAGCTAGAGCGCAGTTAGACTGACTTCCGCATGTGCACTGACGTTAGGCAATATAAATTGACTTTTCAGAATTACGTAGTTAAGTAAAAACTAGTAAGTAGTTCGTAGTTGATTGGTTATTAGTTTTTTTCTCTTTTTCTTTTGTTAAACCCTCCGGCAAGGTCATTACAATTTTAATAGACATCATAGGGTGGAAGTTATATAAGTTGCTTTAGAAAGTAAGAGCTATGAAATCGAACCCTCCTCAATTCAATGCTTTAGTAAGTTAGCTGTTATTTAGCTTTTCATGTTTGCCCGTTGGCGGCGAGAAACTGCATCATTAGGCGTTACTGATATTCTATTTTTGTTTTAGCAATAAGTGAGTGATTTCTCGTGCGCCAATAATTGGCTAACAAAAAGAGCCTTTTTTGGAAAAAGAGAATCATCGTGGTTCGAAAACACTTTGACAAAGTTATGAAGAAATTTTGTCTTCAATCCTGAAATAACAGACAACTTAAAAAAGCTGATGTCGACTGGTTGAATCGATGACCAATGGTTGAAATCATATTTAAAAAAGGTTAAAAGACTTTTTGGTAATAAAAAGTGATACAAATGATCGAAATTTTCAAAAAGATTTTCAACACGAAACACAAAATTTATAAAAAAAAAACCTAAAAGGATTTTTTTTTAATTACGTCACCAAGATTAACACATTTGGAAGTAGCCAAGAACAGCTATCACTCTCAAGGCGTCAGCTACATGGGATCACCGATCCCATTTGTAATCGTCTGAGGAAGAAAGGCTTTGACTGAATCGAATCGCTGGCGGTAGCTTCCTCGTTACATGTATATTTCGATTCTGCTCCTCTTAAGTGGGGAGTATAATTACTGGCATATATAGAGCGCCTGAATTTTTATCTAGTTCATGTTAATAGCAAGACACCCTATTTGGCTATTTGTTTTAGAATTTGAACGTTTTAAATCTTTAGCGCCCTCACGACGTCCGTTTTTTTGCACTTCTTTGACAGAAAAAAAAATCGAAAAATGCTGATTGAATATTTCTTCTCCGTATTTCTTATTGAAATTGATCAGAAAAAAACTTCAGTTTAGCCCTGTTTAGTATACAGAACATGTTTCAAAACAAATTGACTTGTAAAATATGCAGATGAATTAAAGGATGCGTCTCATTCATCACACATGTCCCACGCGCTATCAATCAGTCAGTAATTAACTGGAAGTATACAGGATAGGTAACACGTACAATCCTGAAAACTGAATTTACCCATACTGGATAAAAAGGAATATTTTACAACATTGAAACTGTTCAACAAAATTACTAACAAGAGCCACGCAAAAGGAAATGATCGCGGTAGGCTTAGGGCACATAAAGGCTGAAAGTATATTAAGCAATAGTCACCAGTTTAAAAAAATACGATAAACTGTTTCCCTTATTAAGTATTTGACTAGAATTACCTATTCAGTCTTTTCACCAACACCATTTTACCTTTCGGTTGTCAATCATAACTCTATGTAAAAAGTTGTTAACTTAATGGGTTGTTTCATTAAGACTAGGCAATCTTTCCGAACGGTGACAAACCGCAAGCGACAAGATATTTAAAAGAGACAAATAAAGTTTAGAGCTTAAAAAAGGAATTTTAATTAGTTATATGTTTAGCCGTAGCACAAAAAAATACTTTGCTCGTCTAAGTTACTAAACGACGACAATAGAAAATTTTTAGGCTCTCAAATAAGAGATTATGGGCTGGGGGTGGTGAGAGAAAATTCGCCAAATAACAACAAGATTTAAAAAAAACAATTTACAAACTTTCTTTAACGTCAATGGCAACTGAAAATGTTTTATTTTTACATTGTTCATAACATGTTTTCGAACGTCACAGACACACATTAAGCCGAGAAATTTCTTTATTATTTTTTTAATTTATTCTAATCATTTCAACTTTCTGAACCTTTCAAACTCAACAACTTAAAAATGAAATTTCAGTTTTGAATAAAATTATTTTCCCATGTTTGTATAATGTGTGTAATTGCGTCAGTAAGAATTTCACACTGATCCGGAATTAAGCAAATTGGGGAGGCAGCCAATATTCTTTTTTTTTTCTTTCTTTTTTTAAAAAAAAAAACTACTTCAACTTGAGGTTAAGTGCGAAAATGTTACCTGGCTTGGCGCGCGCTACTGGTGTACACGAGCGTAACACCGTGCCTTACGCACGATTCGCGCTCAAGAAAAGGCACGGTTTTTGTGCCAAAGCAC